GTAATTCTATCATATATATATATATATATATATATATATATATATATATATATAGAGGGTGGCCGAGAAGTAATAAGGCAGTTAGTGGTACAATCAGCAGTCACTACAATTTTATTATTGTTTTATAATTATTATTTTGATTATTAATTGATTTTTATTTTAATTTCATAATCACTAATCATAAAGGTTGCAAGTAAAAATTGTAGTGACTGCTGATTGTACCACTAACTACCCTATTACTTCTCAGCCACCCTGTATATATATATATATATATATATATAGTGTGCACAGTACGGTGCACAAATTTCGTTTTTGGGCCTCTAAAAGACTTTAATGCAACACGAGTGATCCATAAGGGGGAAGCTTACGTTAGAGACTCAAGCTTCTAAATAAAGTCAAATGTGATTAGAACACGCATCATGTCCCCCATCCTTATTTTACATTTAAGAAACATATTAATCGCTACTAGAATAAAATTAAAAAAATTTAATCTTCACCGCATGAAATTCGTAAAGTAAAAAATGAAAAAAAAAAAGCGGGGACAGATGGATAGCCTACCCTCCTGCTTGAGGAGAGACGAGAATGGAATGCTGATGGGAGAGATCCGCCTTGCTCTCCCCGTCCGCGGAGAACCCTCGATTCCCCGCGGAGAACCCTCGATTCCCTGAGGCATTCCCTTGAACCTCCGCCTCGTCCTCCTCCTCGATCGAGATTTTCCGCATGCTCGCGTCCATGGACGCCACTGTTCCTCGAGTCACCGGGCGACTGAGGGGCGAAAAGGGGAGAGATTGAACGGTCGGGGAAGGAAAAAAAGGAGATTGAATGGCTGAATGGGCCGAGAAAGGGGAAGACCACTTTGTTCCCCTGATGAGATCCCCTCGCCGTGATATTCCCCCGGTTCGTGCCAAACTGGAGCGGCTTCAAGGGACTTTGCGTCGTCGAAGCCGAGATTAAAGGCTTGGGTTTCGGGATCCGAGCGGTGTCGAGCCGTCGACCGGAGAAATACGATGGTGTAATCGGAGCGATCCGACGACCTTTCGGGCGTTTCGTGGTCCTTAAGGACCCTTTAAAGTGCCCTTTAGTGTGCCCTTTAGAGTGCCCCTACACCGACGCATGATCGACGTCGCCGTAAAACCACCATCGAACCCTCTAAATCGCAGTCGTAAAAGGTCGGAAGAAATGGAAACAGCGATCGGAATGGAAACGGGAGCGAAAAGGGCGAAGCGGGAGAGGAAAACCCTGGCCATATCGATCCGCAAAAAGGGGGCCAGCTTCTGCCTCCCTCCGCCTCCTCGACCCTCCCGACTTCCATCCCCCCTCGCACCTCTCCCGTATCCATCGGAGCGGGGCTTCCGGATGCGACGTCGATTTCGTCCGATTTTCAAGGCTTCTGTGTCAACACGAGTCTCTCTCTTCCGATTACAGGTCTACGCATGAGGTTGCCATAGGAACGAAGGAGAGCCACCTCACCGCGTGACGCACACACTTATTTCCATCCTGATTCGCGGACCCAATCATTTCCTCACGTGGAACAGAAATTGGCAAAATGGAAATTGGCAAAATGGAAATTGGCGAAATGGAAATTGGCAAAATGGAAATTGGCGAAATGGAAATTGGCAAAATGGAAATTGGCAAAATGGAAATTGGCGAAATGGGAGTCGACAGAAAGCCTTTGCAACCTAAGGAGTATATTTCTCACGGTACTTGCACTTTCTAAAGTTTCCTCCTCCAATTCTCCTTCCTCCACCAAATTCGCCAAAGGCAAAAGGGCGTACTGTAACTCCTCGCGTGAGTCATGCTGCCTTCTGACATTTTTATTCCGCCTTTTTTTTTTTTTTAGATCGCTGATGGGAGGAAAAGCCTTGCGTCATTTTTTCGCTCGCGTTACTGGACGAAGTCACGGAAAAATGGAAAAAGTCGATTGGATTCGACGGACAGCTGCATGCACGGGTTTCAATTAATAAGTTGTTTATTTTAGCGTGACGCTGGCGCGGACTCCCTCAGACATTAGTTTTTGCACGTTACTTGAAGGTCATGTGCATCTGACCAAAGGATTTTTTCTTCTTTTTTTTTTTAAATAAAATTTTGGAGTTATATGCTCTTGGTATCACCTCCGGCGAACGATTTCATCTGTCCTGTCACTTAACCACATCGGTAACCTCGCGCCATTACCGGCACTAAATTAATCGCGGTATTTTCCGCCGTTCGGCCGAGAGTGAGAAAACTCACGCAAGCCATGAGTCGTGTTGAATTTTTAAATAAATTCGGCCTTGGCCCAAGTCCTTGAAAAAATTAACGCGTGACTCTCGTGAGCTACTCGAGAATTACTTTGATCGCATCTGTCCGTGGACTCCGACCCAAGTAACAGAAGCGATACGGAAAGGGCAAGGGAAAATGCACACCAGTAAACTGGAGATTTCGTGCCGATGGGGGACTGAGCCCCCCGCCCCCGCCCCCCCCCCCCCCCCGCCCTCCCCTGGAGGGGGGGGGGGGATTATCGGTCTGATGAAATGGAAGTACCGTAATGAAGTGCCCACAGTAAGTGAATTCGAAGGAAACAGGAAATAGAACCTGAATGGCTCAAACACGAAGTGGGTCCGAGAATTGGCTTCGCTCTCGATTATGCGCCTAACTCAATTGGCCGCCCCCCCTGCCCCCTCTGCCCCCCATTCCCCCCTTTCAAGGTACCCCTTGTCCCCGTTGTTCACAGGCTCCCACGGGCTCTCACGGACTCTCACAGGCTCCCAATTGTTCATGGAAATAAAGCCACATTCGCAGCGCAAATTCCGGTCCTCGGACGCCGAAATTCACGAATCACGCTCCTTGGAGAGTCTCCTCGACCGACACAAAAGAGAGAAAAAATGCTACATCATCTCGGCAAAAACCCGACACGGACTTCCCGTCCACCGAAGGCGATTCACCTCGGGAATCATGCCCTCGAAATTCACACTCGTGCCCTCGAAATCACGACCGTGCCCTCGTAATTAAAAACCGACATGAAGCATCTCGAGTTTCATGGGGAAAAAAATTTTTTCGGAAAAAAAAAAATGTTCCTGTTGGATCGCGATCGATTCCTCCGCTCTCCCCCAAGAAATTCCCAGAACCCGCTGAACAATCGTCGATACGGAATTCTTCTTCAGCTTCATCTGGAATGCTTCCATGATGGAATTTTTTTTTTAAATCTTCGTATTCCCCGAGCTCAGCGACCAATGGAGTCACATCATCGAAAATGCAACCCGGAAAAATATCGAGTCGCGTCGGCCAAGCGTCGGCCCCACCCCCTGACTCCTTCAAATCGACTAATTACCATTTCTCATTAAATTTAAATTTAATACATCAAATCACAAACGCAAAAAAAAATTCCTGGTCATCTTCCGAGCCGGTCACCGTAGAGGTGACCTTGACTCCCCTTGACTCCCCAAATCGCGCCATCTGCCTCTGACGCTCGACTGCGAATGACGAATGTGTCACCCGCATCGTCTCCCGAGCAGATCTCGTCCACCGAATCAGACCAAAAAAACTTTTTTTTTTAGTTTTTTTTTGTGTCCATTTGCGCCCAACATGCGGCATGAACAGCTGTCCAATTGCTAACGAATTTTCATTTCGGAAAATAAATGAAGCCGGTGTGAATAAATGAATGAAGCTGCCTCTCTGAAACCTCTACGAATTTGCACGAATTCCTGAAAGGTCTGGAAACCTTACAGGATGGGCGCAATAAAAGGGTGAAGAATAAAAAAAATAATTGAAGTTGTCTCCTGCGAATTCGTAGTCTTGCCTTACAGAATGGACACGAGCCATTACAGCATGGACATGAGCCATTACAGACACACGTGAGGAACTTCATTCTGCTTTCTCTTCGTCTGGCTTTCTGGTATTCTTTTTCCTTTAACAGAAATATCGTATTTTCTCGCGGAGAAGCCATTCAAAGGGCAAGGGGGAAATTCCTAAAGCAAAGGAACAAGAGGAGCAAAAGAAAAAAGAGGAGCAAAAAGGAAAAAAGAGGAGCAAAAGGAAAAAAGAGGAGCAAAAGGAAAAAAGAGGAGCAAAAGGAAGAAGAGGAGCAAACTGAAGAGTTCCAAATCCTTCGAGAAATATCGAATTCACGGAGGAAAGGACGGAATCCGCTCCCAAAAGCCGAAAAACCCATCTCCGCGTCCTCGAAATTTTTATTTTGTGCCTTGCTCAAGATGAAACAGAAGCCCTTTTTTCCCGTCGACACGAATGACATTCACGGAATTCCAAAAGTACCATTAAGAAGCCGATGCCAACGCGTACCAGTCATGTCGGTACGCGATACCGAGCCCGAACGTGTCGGAATTTCCGCCCGTTCTCATCAGCGGTATAATATTTTCTGCTGAAATATTTTCAATCCGACTCCAAAGATTTCGCATCTTCGGATGGGCTCGCCCCTTTCACATCCGATCGACAGGAAAAACGGCACGTGCCAATTTTTTGCCCCGATCTCTCTTCGTCGTTTGACCCCGAGGGCACCGTCTGTCATACGTAGACGACATCAGAAGGCCTCAATATTGCAACATTGACCCAACGTGGGGCCAATATTGGTCCAACATCGGTCCAACATACCCTGCCACAGGGGAGACCCCGCTGGACCAGAAATCTTCGTCTCGCGCTTCCGTATTCTTCAGTGCTTTCGAATGCGGCTTGAATGACCGACGTTGTGTCATCCCCATCAAAAACATATCAATTAAAACAGTGTAATGCAATGCGGAAATGAGCAAGAAACTTCCGGATTTTTGTAACCACCGGCTACGC